CCAGGGAGTAAAGTAATCAGAAGGATCGCGTTGTGTGAATTTTCAGACAATTCCATTGAAAATTGTGGATAAATCATCAAAATACCGAATATAAGGAGGTACTATTATATGGGGATTATACGATATCGTGGAGCTATATGGATAGGGGATGAAGTACTCAATCATCAAAATAGGGAATATCGGGGGTACAGTTTTAGGGGGCTATACGATATCGTAAACTTATATAGACAATTCTCTTCCAGGGGATAAAGTAAGGAACTTCTTGTGTTTATTTTCAGCCAAAGAACATAAAATAACAAATCGGATGAAAAATATATATGTGTGCTATACCTATATCTGAACCCATTTGATCAAATTTGACATACTTGTTTCTAGGCTCTATTTGGCCGTATGTGCCAGATTCCATCCTATTTTGGCTAACATAGCACACTTGGTGCACAATAAAAAGCAAATCGGACGAAGATATATATACGGAAAATATATCTCAATTTTGACCGATTATCTCCAATTTCAACAGGATTCGACCTTGGACCAAAAAAAGTTATTTGTATAAAATTTCATCTCGACCGGATAATAAATGCGACCTCTACACTGTTTTCAAAAATACCCCAATGGAACTATGGGTCTATCTCGCTACCTTCTCCATGTTACAAACAAATGCACATAGACCTAATACCCTGATACCAGTGTGGTGTAGGATAAAAAAATCATCATTGATATAATCGTTAGATCAAAATCTCTTCCTACTGAGCCACTCCATTCAGGGATGTGCAAACAGTTTCGGGTGGACGCCACTAAAAAAGTAACTGTTCCTTGTAAATTATAAAAAAAATGCCTAAATATACACTTCGGGTGTCTCGGAGACAGGGACAACCTACTTTCATCTCTGAGTTTATTTAGTAAAAGTTTTGAATACTGGGAGATGAAAATCTCGAGAATATGGCACCGAGGCACCGATTCGGGATATGCAATTATAACATTGCCATACTATTACGTTAGTTTTTAAATTGTCTTTATCATGTAAAATTAAAAACACATTGTGATATGAAAATTCTTACTCCTCGATCGGCCAACACATATCGATTAATATTCGAAATGGGCTAATCCGCGATCTGGTTTTGTTATAGACCCACGATGGCAACAGATAGTTTGAGGCATGGTATTGTCATCTCCAGGTCTGGTTTATCGTAGCTTGCATGATTATATACGAAACTTCAGTGGTTATGTGTCTCCAATAATTACAAATACCCACGAGAATACGATGGGCATATCTTTAGATTGCAGCTGATGCAAAGTTTTTTTATACAGTCAACAAGCTATACAAATTATAACCTAATAGAAAAGAGTTAAAGAAAATAAGGTATTTGTGATGATAGCGGTTGTACCTTATTAATTTGGGTATTGTTCGGTATACACCCATATGACGTCAACGTATTTAAGGTATTCCCAAGAAATTGGTTTTTTTATAGCTATACACAATTACCCAAACTTACCTATTTTACGAACAAGTATTTTAAAAATGTTAAGTTCAAATACCAAAATTATAAATCTAAACCAAATTATAACCAACGAGTATTAGAATCTCATTCTCAGAGTTACAGGTGAAATAAGTTCCAGTTCCATTGCATTTCTTTATCATTAACGTTTGGATAAAACCCTAAAAAGGGTTGACAACGTTTATTCGAATTCCAGAATTTTTGCCCATAACACTATAGCACGCCCTTGAAATACATAGTTTTCTCAATTCAACCCACACAACTAACAGGTGTGTAGAGTCCTATAAAAAATGTCATATGGTATAAACATGACGGTATCTTTTTCAATTACTGTTTTATTGCCTATTATTAATGTGACGCCAATATTATAGGTAAATATTCTATAAATGTCATAAAAAAAGTATTCTTTTAGCTCACCCTCTCCCACACAAAAAAAAAGATAAGGCCATGCCCATGGGGAAGGAGCGCATTTATTTCGTTTTGGTATCTTAAAGGGAGGGCCAATTAAAAATTTTAATATTTCAATACACCAGAATTAAGGCGGCATTCTTATTTTTTAATTATCAACATTGAAAATAAAAATATTTATTTTCAGGTAGTAATTCGTATAATAATTGAGAGTCATAAAAATTGTTTCGCAATATACGTCAGAGGAGCACACCCAGTGGGCATATTTTGGGTGGGTTCGTCGCCGTCTTTATTTTGGTGTGGTAGGTCAATATACCATGTTTAATTAATTTATAACAAGATTCAAGTAATGTGATTTCAGTCTAAAGATTAAAAAGTTAGTGTGTATCTATATAACAATGATAATGCTATAGTTTTAGTACAGGGAGAGCGACTTAGTTAGGAAGGCGAATTTTTTTAATATCCATTTATCGGGTGGTAGAATGCAAATATTTAAGTGGTAAATTCGAAATGGTCACACATAAAATATCGAGTCTAGCCGCCTACATATCTTACATTAAGTTGTACAGACGCTTCTAAAACAACAAATTCAAATATGGAATTACCAATCCGGGGTCTCTGATCTATTGTGTTCATTTTGGAAAGATTTAGAGTGAAATAATAAATTCTCATCAGAGAATCTTTACAGGTAAAAAAACAACACTAAGTTCGACCGAACAGAACTACTTATTCCTTCCAAAATGTGGAAATGTTATTTACGCAAAATAGATTATGAAAAAAATGACACTAACACCATGTGAAAAGTTCACTTCTGGCCAAATCAACTGCATCAAAATCTCTAAACTTGGAAGTTTCGTCATTTTGAGATAGTTTTAAGAACAGTTAATTTACCCACGGAGAATCCGAAATATCTAATTACATCTAATATGGTTGGAAATTCCGTCAAAAGAAATCTGACGGAAATCTGGAGGTACCGTTATATGTGGGTTGTACAAAAAATTGGTTCTACACGAAATATCTATATCTATAAATGAGTAAATTGAAAAATGGGCGAGAAATACCGCAAATAATGGGGACTATAGCTAACCATGGACTAATATATTCGATTTTAAATTCAAAACATCCTAAAAATAATATCAATGATCCTAGGAATAATATCAAATCATGAAAATAAGTGGGCTATACGAAGACCTGGACCTGTATAGACAATTTTCTGTCATAAGTTGTAGTACCCATTACGAACTTTAAATACGAAATTTGAAACGATTCCGATCTATAATGTTTCTAAAATCATAAAATTACCGACTATTGGGGGTACTGTTGGCATTAACATCTTCAAAAATGAAATTTCAAAAAATTCAGGTAAATGTCGCAAAAATCATCAAAATACCGAATATCAGGAGGTACCGTTACATGGGGCGTATATTGCTTTCGAAATTGGAATCTCATAACAAATTTCAAGATTTTACTTCGAATTTCCATAAACTATTTGGTTCGTCTATCCTACACAGCATTAAAGTCCCTTATTACAAATTTCAGATTTCCCCAAATTTAACACCATTTACCACTTTTGGTACTTTTTGAATAGGTATATATTGAAAAGGTATATCGAAATCCAACTCCATATATCTAATAATCCTAATACCAAATTTTAGATATCCAAATTTTTAATAATTTCTGTACTTTTTTTAATTATGTATTATACATCAACATCATATATTGGCCCTAATGACAAATTTCAGAGTTTATACAGTTCAATTTAGCACAGATCTTACATTTAATACACATTTCAAAAATCACCTCCTTATTAATCCTACTTTCCCAAATTAATTTTTATACCAAATGTTTTAGCTCGTTCGGTTCACACAATGCCAAATGTTACCAAATTTAGTAATTGTAGTACAATTTTAGTTCTGAAAATGCTTTGCGGACATCTATCCCACTCTATCCGTTTGACCCATTCAATGAAAATATTTTTAGTACTTATTAGTTAGATGAATTCCATCCATACATTGGATGAAATGAAATCATTGTGATATTTAGAGCTTTGTCTACTACAACTTTATATTGTTTAAATTCACTCTCTATAAATCGGCAAAATCTGTCTATGTAAAGGGTTCCCCATGTTCTCTTGATATATTCAACCACCACTAAATCATTTTCTATTTTACGACCGTATATATAAAGATATTTAATTTACTACTTTTAGTTGCGATGGCCATGCTTGTTCTAACTTTTAGGTCCAGTAAACTTAAGTAATTACACGACTTGACTGATTCAGTTCTCTTTCATATGTTTCAGACTTTCAAAATCTGTTTGTTTATATATACTGGTACTTACTTAAATATTCTTAAAATATACACACTTTTTTTATAAACAACAATCCGAAATATCGCATCACTTTAATTTTTTTTTTATAAAAATTTAATTAACTTGACACATAAAAGTTACTGATGAGAATGCAGAAATCTTATTTACGCTTCTTGCTGTTTGGCTACTTCATTACATATGCTTTCTAATTGGCTAGACGAAAATGTGTCCGCATCAAACACAATGTCGGACAAGGCTTTTGTCATAGAAAACACAACAAAGGCGTTCTAAGTTTTTGGTGTTCCATATTTGTGTCTACATATCTGTTGATGTGGGAAAATGTATTTCCCACAATAAATGTGCAAATCACACACGTGAAATTATAAACAACTTTTGAATTACCTCATACGAGAACATATTGTCTTGTGTCCATGTCTCGTCATTTTAAGCAATAAGCAATGTACACTTTTTTAAAAGGATCGCTGTACTGAAGTGGCTATTGAAACAAATGTGATACTTTAAAGAAATGTGAAAAATTTTTCAGGTTGTCTATTGTCTTTTATCGTATCTATCCTGACTACAAGACAGAAATAGATTGTAGAAGAATAGGAAACCTTAAACGAGACATCCCAGCAAAAACATCCACTAGGAAATAAAACTTTACTTAAAAATAATTTCGACACTAAATTTGCTTACAATTTTACGCGTGTTAAGAATATGTATTCGAATATTCTAATGTGTTGCAAAACTTAAATAATAACAACAAATAAAAAACTTTAAGTTAAGTTTAAATACCCTCCAACATTTGGTACATATATTTTAAAATGAAAGTATCTGGATACAAACATGTTCCATGTTAATCTTAAGTTCTAGTGAGATTGGCAGAAGAATTCAGTTAAATTTTTAAAATACAATAAAGTCGGGCCACAACAAAGCGGGGAAAATTCTCTAACATGTACTATTTCAGGAGATATGGAAAAGACATCTCATAATTGACTCTTGCCGAAAGTATTATCAACAAATACTACTTTGTTTACTTTCAAGTCGCGACATTATCTTTCCAATGTACTTCAGTGTTTATCTTTTTTAACACAATTTAATGGCTTTTTTTTGTTTATTAGATATGTGATAATACCATAGACAAATAAAGGTATAGACTAAAAAGCTTTAAAATTTACCCCTTCCGGCAGATGTCACTCTGGTTTATCGTGGGCCAGTGAAGTCACTCAGGGCTAGTGAAGTCACTCGAGTTCGAAAACAATTTATTCATTTTTCTGCTATTTAAGCTTTATATTTTTATATTTCACAACATATTTGGGTCATGTCAATGTAAACAAAGTCACTGTTTAGATTTTAATTGATAAATAGTAATAAATCATAAAAATATTCAATATTTTGTATTTTGAGAGAATTGAGTGAGTCCACTGAACCTCTCTTACAGCATGAACGACATCTATTGAAATGTTTTTTCGAAGATAACAGATGAGACAACTTTTTAGTATATACCTTTATTTGTCTATGATAATACCACAAAAACATTTTCCATTGCAATTCACTTAATGCTATATGTAAACACACTCGGAACTATTGAAGCAATTTTTACCTCCAACAAAGAGGTTGTGGTTAGAATGCATTATTATAAGTACGTTAATCATACATTTTGTATATATAGGATTTTACACAAAGACTGCAGAGTTAATATTAAACATACCTATAAACCACATAAGCTGAATATAATTACGAATTTATAGAGTTTTTTTAGTTGTCAATAGAAATAAATATACAATCATCACTGTGCCATTATTTTCGCAAGTTTATGCTACATCATACTCTATTAGGCCTTAACATTAAACAATATTTACGACTGCCTTTGTTTGGGTTAAATTTTAAATTGAAACATTATGACATATTTTATATATGGCTTGATAATAAGTGTTATAAATACCAAATTCTCAGGTATTCCAAGAATAGCCAATTGATAAGTAATCCATTTGGTGTAAAAATAAATAATGAACGAGATTTAGAGTTAACAAGTTTATAGCCAACTGAACAAAACTCAAAATAAGTGGAACCAATTCAACATTATTATATTCGCATGGTTCGAATATAATCCATACCAATTTTCCATTTTTTTTTTTAAAACCACTTGTTTGATTTTTTTAGAGTTCGTCTAAAATTTTTACAGTTAATTTTTGATGGATATTTCATAATTTTTCTCTTGCGTGTCGAGCTTATTATGACCTATTGATGGCATTGAAAATTGGAATCTAGCGAAGCCCCACGTTAAAACCAGGATGCGACGCGTTTCGCCGTTGGTTAAATGGCTCAATAGGCATATAAGATTCTATTTTAATGGCTATATGAAGATCAATTAGTAAGTCTTTTTAGACTATCCGAAAACAATATATGCATGTGGAAAAAGAGATCGCAAACAGGAATTTATTTGAGTGTTTGAGTTTTCGAGAATGACACTAACAGAAGTTCGTTTTAATAAAAGGCTAAAAGGAAATAATTATTGGTAAAACGATAAGTGACAATCAAAAGGGAACTTTACAAACTACAAAAGACATCCCGAAAATATACGACCAGAAGGGAATACTTATTTATGTACAACCAGAACTTAGACTTTTGAAGATTTCCAGAAAGGATTCTTCAAAGAAACTCAGAAAGAAGTATTTATTGACCCCGAAGCAAGCCTTTTTATGAACTACAAAAAGTAAGCCTTTATATATTATCCAAAGAAAGTCTTAATGGACTATCCGAAGAGAGTTCATAAATGCATTCTGACCAAAAGAAATTAATTAAAAAATAAATTCTTGAGTATTTACAAACATTCAGTTTATAGTTTCTATGGGCCTCTTATGGTCGCCCATAGAAACTATAAACTGAATGTCATCATAATCGACAAAAAGGTACAAAATGTTAGTTTTTTATAAAACACCAAGAAGAAAAGTCTTTTTAAATGATCTAAAGAGTGTCTATGTGGACCCTGGCCAGAGTGGGTTCTTAAAGAAATCCAAAAAGAAGTCTTTATACAACACAGAGGTAGTCCTCACAGCCAATCAGCAAAGTTTTATACTTAGGGATAAGAAAGTTTTCTACAAATACAAAATAGTTATAAATGAGATATAAATGATAGGGAAAAAAGGAGCCAAATAGGACAACAGGAAGGGAGACTTTATAAAATACCAGAGATGGACAAGGAAACCGTTATATATGACCAGGCGAGTTTTTAGATTTATATATACGTCTTTCGACGTGGAGGAGAGGGTTTAATAGATTGCCAGAAGGATAAAACAAAAAAAAAGGAAATATTTATAGATAACTAACATGGAAGAATTTTCAGTATTTATAAACCAACAGCAGGGACTTTTTTATAGAAGACCGGAAAAACGTTTTGATGAACGACTAGATGGAAGACTTGATAAACGGACTATGCTCAATTTTTAGACCTAATAGTCTTATGGGCGATAAAAAAGTGTAATTATCGAATTCACGAAATATTCTGCATAAAATAGCATGTTTCTATTTAAATATACAGTATTCGACAATAAGTTCAAAGTGTTGCACATGGAATATAAGATGAGATAAAAGGTTTAAAAAAGGTTTGCTATGATAGATTTAACAAATTTAACAACTCTTACTTATTCCAAATTGGCTGGAAGAGATCCGAAATTAATAAACAAATATACAATTTTTCCATATTTTATATGGAAATGTTCATATTTTATCCATGTTTGGTGACAAGGAAGTAATTTAATGGGAATAAAAAAGTCATGAATTTTACAAAATCATGCGGCTAAGATGCTGTTAATTTCGCATGTGGATCATGTCTTTTGCAAGATCCTCAGAAGTGAATATAAAGAATTCATTAAAATATAGAGAACAGAATGTTTCCTTCATGACCCCATGTGAACTGTTTATTCTGAATAAATTTAATTCTTTTTTGGTGGGAAAACTCTCGTTACCAGATAATGGATTTACAAACCAATTACTGGCAGTCAAGCAAATCAGTCGAAAGCATTAGTTTTGATTTTAGAGCTATTGAGTAGAATTTATGTATACGTTTTACGATTACAATCACGATTATAATTCGGTATTTAGAGTTCGGGGTGGCTTCTGAATCCTGTGACAGAACAATGTGTACAAGCTCCACGGTAATTTTTGGATTTAAGACACATTTTCCAAAAGATTTGTTTAAAATTCGGCGTATGTGGTTGGTGATGGGATATACATCTGACGGAAGAACACTGTCTATATAGGTCCACATTTTACTATTTCAACCATAAAACGGCACAACTAGGTATTGTGTACTTTAATGACTTTAGCCACATATTTTAAACGAAAGTGCTTCAAATTTGATAATTAATATATCCCATATAACTTTATCAGACAATTCCATTAGTATCTGCAAATAAAATTAAATTAGTTTCAATATTGAATCCCGATACTTTTATTTAATAGTGTTCTTTACCTCAAAATGAAGGATATTCAAAATTCGGCCCGGCTGAACTTCATGCTTTTTATTTGTTTATTTTGTGCGCTAGTAGGATATGCCTCGGAACCACCAACTATTGCGAACCTAAAATAATTATTCGGAAGATTAATTTACTCTCATAGAGAACATATGTTTCATCGAAAGAGTTATAAAGAGAATGATAATAATATAGAATAATAGTAGAAATTGTGAAAATGTGGTGCAAGTAATATTAGTCTGTTATACAAATACGACATGACCTACCGCAAACTGCGAATCCATTTTCAAATGAACAATCAATACATCTAAATTATAGCTCAGTCATGCCAAATAAATCTAGTCAATTGTGAATTAAATTCACATAATAATAATAATAATAATATAATTTAACAAAACATGTTCATACCGTACGCATTTGGCCGGCATTAAGTGATATTGTTGTTTACTTTGTATGGCAGTTTTATGAGCCGTTAGCCAGCAGTTTGATAACAAACCATTTATTATGGTGCGAATATAACGTCCATATAAACAATTAGGTATGTAAAACACAAGCATACGCACATTTAGTTAAATGCAAACTATTTGCATTGGTCCTAATCAAGCGTTGGATACTTTGGATGTCAACTATTCAACAGCTACCCATTTCTATGAATAGCGTTTGGAGTTTATGGCTAAAGTGCCATAAGTAATTACAATTGTTATGTGCGGCGTGTTTCCAAGTGGCCAGTGTGTCTGTCGCTCGGTCGACTGGTTGTCTTATCTAAATGCGTGATCAAAACATTGCATTTGGGAAGTGGTAAAATTAGTTGACAATTTTCTAATGCAAATAACAGCAATACAAACTGAAAGCAGACTATCGGACAGACAAGTGGACGAACTGACCGACTGTCAGTAGTAAGACAGCGTCCAAATGTAGACATCATGCAAACATTTTTGTGGGCTTTTTGCAAAATAGGATTTCATTAATTTAAATCACACATTTAACCTCAATTTGCAAAAAAAAAAAAAACTTATCATACTCGGGCACTTTTCAATCAGCTTTCTGCCTGTCTGTCTGCCCATCTCTCTGATGTGTAGGAGGTGTAATAATAAATATGGACATTACGTATGTTTAGATACACTTACACTTGTACTTATTTAGCTATGACGTTTCTACGCAAATATAAGTGTGCAAGATGTTTGTAATGAATCTATTTTTAAGTGACACTTGATAGCATTGAATAGCATGAATAATTTACCATTTATGACATTTAGTGTTTGTGTTTTGACATACTAATAAAACAAACAGAGAATGCATGAAAAGTAATGGACAAAATCTGGAATACCAAACAAATAAAGTCATGGTATGCCGAGATAATATTAGAAATTGTATGGATGTCATCTATATCCATAAAATTGTAAAACATGACTGACTGCTGATCGCTCCGTAAAAACTACTAAGTCTAGAATCTTGAAATTTTATTGGTGCGTAGGATGTTTTAGGTATCACACATTAAATACACTGTAATAATAACAAGTTGCTTCTTCAACGTTGACTTCCATTACATGCGGTTTCTACAAGATGCGACCGCTTTAATTGGCGTATTGGAATACAACATTGAAGCATTTTTTCGTGAGATATCGGCCGAAATGTTAGAAAGGGTATGCCAAAGTTGGTCTAAGCGGATGGACGATTTGAGACGCTGTCACTGTCAATATCTGCATGAAATAATCCTTAAACATTAAATTATATGAACCGCACTATTAACTCAAAAAAGATCTCATGTATTTGTATGAATTTTATGTGATTATTTTTTAAACTTTAATATGGCTCTTAAAAATTACCCTTTACTTTGGCATGTGGGTATTATAAAGGCCTAACAAATAAAATGATTCGCACTAAAATGGGTATTGTGCTTTGGATTAGGAAACATAAAGACGAAAATTTTTGATTTTTTGTTTTGTATAAAAAATAGACAAATTTAAGGTAGATTCTGAACTATTGACTATAGATACCATTTATAGATTGTTGGTTGTCCATATGAATGGGCAAATAAAACAGGTATTTTGAATAAATGTACAAAATGCTCTCGTATGTATACTTTGTTGTGGACAGTTGAACACTGAGATGATTTTCTTAATAAATTTTTACAATTTTTGGTAGAATTACATTTTTTGATATTTTATTTATAGTTTACTTTTGATAAGTAGGATGCTTTTGCAAAAACAAACTCGAAAAAATGATATTTTATATCTATATCATAAACCAATTACAAAATATAAATTTTTAATAATTGCTGTTTTTTCAGATTTAATCGTGTGAATATACAATTTTTCGAAGGTAAGTATTCAGAATATGGCAGAAGAATAGAGGTAGCCTCATTTGTTAAAGAAAATGCTAAGTTTTTAAAACCCTTCACTGTTTGGAAGGAACATGGACAAAGTAAAAAATTCAGCTATAAAAAGTGTGGTTATATTTTAAACAAGTAAAAAAACATTAAGTTCGGTAGGGTTGAACTTTTAATACCCTCCGCCTTAGGGTAAAATAAACATTTTTATATAAAAGTATCTAATTTCAAGCGTGTTTCACATTAAACTTCATATACCAATAAGACCGTTTGGATAATGCAGTTAAACTTATCAAGAAACCATAAAGTGAATTAGGCGTTATATATGGGGCCATACCACAACGGGGAACACTATGGACAATTTTATACTTCAAGGATTGTCATCTATTAAATCTTCTATAATACCAATTTTGAAACGATTATGTGTGTAAATATGACTAGGATTATCAAAACACCGAATATCGGTGGGTATCGTTATATGTGCACTATTGGAAAACGTGGAACTAAATATTCAATGTTCTGCCACCGAGCTAGAATTTTTAGACAAATCCGTGAAAAAATGTGGCAATCATTGAAATACCGAATATGGGGAGGTACCGTTATATGGGGGCTATATCAAAACGTATACCTATACATATAATGTTTCGCAACACGAGCTAGAAACCATTTTGACCTACAGATACCAATTTTTAGACAAATCCGTGAGAAATGTGGCAAAAATCATGAAAATAACTAATATCGAAAGTTACCGTTATATGGGGACTATACCAAAACGTGGACCGATATATCTCATTTTCAATACCAACCATCCTAGAAGCAATACAAATAATTCTGCTAAATTTTGACGCTCTATCCTCAAATAATGTGTGCTATATCGTGATTTCAACAGAAAGACAGACGGACATATTTAAATCGACTTAGAATTTTATGCTGATTATGAATATATATATACTTTATGGGGTCTATGACGAATATTTAGGTATGTTACAAACGAAATAACAAAGTTAATATACCCTCCTTTCTAAGTTGGAAAACAAACAATTCCAAATATCAGCTGTTACAGTTATATGAGATTATAAGAAAGCTTTGATTTCTATAACCAATTATCTGCTAGTGAGGGCAGATACCAAGTGTGAGATAATTCTGTGAAATATAGGGAGTTAAAGTTATATTGGAGCTATACCAATATGTGGACCGGTATAGAACAATTTCTGGCATGGTAGGCAATACCCATTACAAACTCTAAATAACAAATTCGAAATGATTCCGGTGAAAAGAGTGAAACAAATCATCAAAATACCGAATATCTGGAGGGGCCTATACGAAATAGTAGATCTCTAAAGCCAATTATCTGCCAGAGAAGGTGGGGCCTATAACGAACTCCAAATACCAAGTTTGAGATAATTCTGTTTAATAATGAAGATAGAATAATCAAAATACCGAATATAGAGAGATACCATTGTATGGGAGCTATATGAAGGCGAACACCTGAACAGAAGGTCATAATTCGTGCCAAAGGGACCAATTCGAACAAATCTAAACTTATTCTAAAATTTGATGCTATTTTCGACATTTTTTGCTTTCATTCAATAAAATTTAGAAAAAAATGTAAAAATTATGGCGTTTGACTTTGTTGCAGGTTTTTGTTTCACCCTGTATACCATTTGATACGATCTGAACGTGCCTTATCGTACGTCCGTCCGTCTGTCTGGCTGCTGCGCACGATAACTTTCGAAGTATCCCATTTGGTCCAAACTTAGTACATCGTAATATTATTATCAAATTTAGATCGAGATCGGAGATGGCTAATATCGGTCCACTTCTTCTGGTACCTACCCCAAAAGGTCGAAATTTTCACAAAAAATATTTTACTGCACAGAAAGAGAGAGAATAGTCCGATTTTGTTCCAACTTTGTGAACCCTAATATTTGCATCAGTGTTAGGTCAGGTGCATTAAAAATTTGAATAATTACAACTCTTATAAAAACCGACTGATACTATTTTACTTGTTTTAACTACAGTTCCATTTAGTGACGTATGCTCAAACAACTAATGAACACTTATATAATTTTTATGGGCCCACGGGGAATAGAATGTTCATATTGTGTTCCTCTTGACTTTACAAAATATTTGGAATGCAAATAAAGATATTTTTGGAATGGATGCAAAGAAAAAAGTAAAAAAAAAAACATGCCTAAGTTACGAAATAACAAATACTTGGGTTACAACAAATCGTCGAAAGCCTAAAGGGGAATTAGGCACGTACACAAACACTTGGAGCGTTTAATGGTGTGGCAGATGTAATAAATAAATGGATATAATGGTACCACTGACCGCAGCTGTGAACTTTTCAAACGTTTATTCAAACTAAAAATAATTTATATGATTTATTTCATTAAAAAATACCTTGACAGCAAAAAGGCCTTTGATACAGGGAAAGTAAAAAAATGTACGAAACTGCTGCTAAATACAAATTAATTAACATTCCCCATACACTTTGCAAAACAATGTATACCGGTTCTGTTCTCTGATTCGCGTGCCTCAAGTACATGCCTTTTACTATGACTCTACATTATTAACGAACAAATTACCATAATTATTGGTTGTTTTTTTTTTTTCTTGTCTTGTATTCAAGATCAAGAGGAATTCTTCATAGTCAATTAACAGCAAAGTGTTAATTTATGGCCTTACTTTGGCATTTTGTAGGGATTACTATAAGACAAAATACAATTCAAAAATGAAATGAAACATGTGTGTCTGAATATCTAGTTAAAGCTGTCACAAGACCATTGAGTTGTCATAATATTAAATATGAATTTATTTGATAATAATAATAATAAACATATGTATGTGCATACATTCATCTCCCGTTTATGCTGTCATATTTTAAAGTATTTGTAGAGCAATACACAAAATGTGATAAAAATTTTTGGTGTTTTTTATAGAATGTTTCTTAATTACTATTATTATTATTGTTCTTTAACAAACAATTTTAATTAAATATGAAATGTGCCCGAAATAGATGTTATTCTTACGTAATTTTTATTGACGTAATTAGAATATGGAGATTATATTCATTAAAGTTTTTTGGCAGTTCTATTTGCAAACTGAAAGCAATAGTAAATAAGAATGCTTTTGAAATATGCCGGCATCAAGTACATTTATTGCAAAGTAATGCCGTAGCTAGACAGAGAAAATTAATTCTTCAGCAGAAATATTTAATTTGGGACGTCTTCTTGGGCTATGCATACATTTTTTTAAATTCTTTTAATGTTTAGGGGGAGGGTCGTAGTCCCAACGGATGAAGTATAACTTAATTTTGCAACTGCTCAAAATACAGGATGAGATGAAAAAACTGCAACCAACTTCAGGCTGCTGTCATTTCGACAGCTGTTACAATTATTCCAGTGACAGCTCATTATATTGTTTACAAGCATACAAAAGCATTTTGGTGAAAATTTTTCAGAAAAAAAAGTCATTCGTAATGGAATTCAAGCGGATATCGTTAGAGCACTCCAGCATTTAAATGTGAATAAATCTTTTGCGTCTCGTACCATAGATTCTTACCGTGATACTGGTAGCGTAGCCGAACATCCAGAAAATGGACGGAAGAAAACAGAAAGCAAAGAAGCGACTTGATCGGTACCCGCGTCGTAGTGGCCGAAAATAGCTCTTAAGCTGAACATATCGCAATTATTCATTCGGCAAATAGTGCAAAAAGTTACACCGCAACAGAAAGAAAATAGACTCAAAAGAGCTAAGGATTTGCTTCGCTTGACCGAAAGTGGTGAACTGCCGAATTTGGCTTTCTCCAATGAGAAAACATTCGTTGTCAAGCAGTTTGTAAACACAACAACCTTGGGTTGGCCAGCAGAACTCTAGCGCCGGCCATGGTGATGGTATGGGCCGCCATAACAGCCGATGGTCGCTCTCCGTGTATTAATCGACCGTAGCATCAGAAGAAATGACGAATATTATCGCGAAAATATTCTGGAGGGTGTACTAAATCCTTGAGCACGCAAACATTTTGGCCGCAGACCTTGGACATTTCAACAGAACTCAGCACCATCGCAAATGAGGTCCCTCGAATCATCTCTAGCGCACAATGGCCGCCAAAATCTCCGGATACCAATCCTTTGGACTATTGTGTCTGGAGCATTTTGGAAAGCAAGGTTGGCATTAAAAAATTCCAAAGTGTCGATCACCTCAAGGAAGCGTTTGCCGGGAATGGGCCAAAATACCGAAGAGCAACATTCGGGCAACTTGTTTGTTTCATTGGCCGTTTGAAGCCCATAATTCGTGCCAAAGGTGACCAATTCGAACAAATCTAAACTTATTCTAAAATTTGATGCCATTTCCAACATTTTTGCTTTCATTCAATAAAATTTAACACAAAAATGTAAAAGTTTGTTGCATTTTTATGTCACCCTGTATTTATCAGAGATTTCACAAGGTTGACACATAATGATGGCCTTGCTAACTATAACTGCCGCCTGTGGCATTAATACCTAGTCCCTTTCTTTTTCCTTATTTAAGCAACTGCATATCCTTCACTATTATTACATTCCCATTTTATTGTTGTACATTTTTGATGTCTCTAGTCTGAAATGAGATTGAAAGATTCCATTAAAAATTCATCATTACCATAGGAATTCGATGCGGGAAAGTGTCCCTAATTCGCGTGACTTTGGTTCTTACAATTAGTGGGTTACACCAGTTACACAAATAATTTCATCGTCATATCACGGAAAACATGATTTTATTTTAAAAGAATGAACCCTGATAACGTTAACTTTATCATTTACTCTTCCTGAAATGAGAGCAAAACAACTATAACAAGTAAAAATATTAATATTCATAAAGAATCACCGCATCGTAATTCTGTTCATAACAGATCTTGCGTTAGCAAAAATATTTGGATGTTTTAAATTTGAAGCGAGTTGGATGCCTATTTCGCTTTCTTTGAGGGCTTTGTTTTTCAAAATTTTGAACCGTATGTGGTGGAGGTACCAAAAGAAATGATCTATCTACCATCTTTATGATAGAGCTTTCGGGTTTTATGAGCTTCATGAATGTTCAAAATGTTGACTCTTTGTGGGGGAGGTACCAGAAGGAGTGGACCAATATATTCCATCTTCTCACCAGACCTTGGGTTAATAAAAAATATTGTGATGTGTGTAATTTGAAGAGTATCGGATGCTTATTTCAGATTTTATGAGCCTTTTGGTTATTCAAAACGTTGAACCTTTGTGTGGGAGGTACTTGAAGGAATGGTCCGATCTTTACCATCTTGATGATTGATAACAGATCTTGTGTTAATGGAAATATTGAGATGTGTCAAGTCTGAAAGGAATTAGATGTTAATTTCGCGTTTTATGAGCTTCATGTATATTCAAAATTTTGACCCTTTGTGGCGGAGGTACCAGAAGTAGTGGACCGAAATATTCGATTTTCTCACCAGACTTTGGGTTAATAAAAAATATTGTGATGTGTGTAATTTGAAACAGACACTTATATCACATTTTATAAGAGTTATAATTATTCAAATTTTTGATCGTTTGTGGGGGAGATACTTGATCGAGTGGACCGATATTGTCCATTTTCGCACCTGACATTGATGCAAATGTTAGGATATGCAGAGTTGGAGCAAAATCGGATTATCCTTTCTCTTTCTGAGCAGTAAATTACTTTCTTTGAAAATATTGACATTTTATGGGGCAGATACCAGAAGGAATGGACCGATATTGCCCATCTCCGTCATCGTGCGCACCAGTCAGCCAGACAGACAAACAGACGGACGGACATCGCTAGATCGACTCCAAATGTCCTGAAACAGATTTGGTCCAAAGAGACCTAGGGTCTAAAACCGTTGTTTCTATATCCTCTCTAGCCATATGACTGAGGGTATAAAAAAAATATATAACAACGGGCCTACGTCGTTCGTGTTCTAAGGAAATACGAAGTACATCTTTCTTTCTTTTTGAAATTTACATTTTAATCATTTCAAAATATCGCTCATGTAACCAGTATTGAGCACGCTTAGTGTGTAGTCTTTCTCAGAAAATAAAAATTATGCAAAGCATATACTAGTTAGCGTCGTCGTGTCAGATGTATCAGAACTATATATGTTACATTTGGTATTTCTTATTCGTAGCGTAACGTAATATTGGCACCTACTTGGACATATCGCTCATGTAACGGTTAACCTAGAATACAGACATTTTGAAACCATTAGCCATATTAGTGTATAATTTAACTGGAGAAAAAAATTCCACCTCTTGCTCTTGCTTTATGCCACAGGAGATAGAACACATGCAAATTCAAAATTCCTAATTTCAAACAATAATGTTGAGAAATGTGGCTAATATAATCAGAATACCGATTATCGGGTATTAAAGTCATCATATAGGGAAGTACCGAAATATGAAGGCCATAGGCAAACGTGAACCTATATAGACAATAATCTGCCACAAAAGGTAAACCCGGATAGAAAATGTGACTCTAATAGTCAAAAAACTCCGATTATGAGAACGTGGACCGACAAGGCCCATCTAAACAAACTACTGACAAAATGCACATGTGTACAAAATGTAAGCCTTCTATCTCAAATCGTTCGAAAGAAAGCGTGATTACAACAGACCGGCAGCTAAAAAAACTAAAATCGTCTTAGAATTCTGCGCTTATCATGAATAATCTACTCTGTTGCGTCTAACACCGGTATTTCAAAGAGTTACAAACGGAATGATAAAATTAATATAATCTTCATAGAATGGTGGATGGTATAAAACCATTTGAATGATTCTCATGGTGTAGGATAGGACAGCCCGGCAATGACGAAAATTGAAATAATGTCATAAAACATATAAATGCTCATTATATTTGTAATACACGTTTTTCTAATGCATTAACACAATGTTTTTTTTTTCCATAGACAGACAAATCAATGATTAATTTTGAAATTGTTGTTATACCCCATTTCTCAAGTTTATTGTCGTAATTGGCATGGGCAAGTTTTCAATTTTCCAAGCTTGTTAAATTTCGCTACAAAACAAAAACTTCGACACTGACAACGCCGGCTAGGGTTGTGTCTAACAGCATCAACAATAACAAAAAAATATCTCTTTCTCAAATAGACGGGAGATGGGACGGGTAATCGATACGTTCAAGCCAATATTAATAGACAAAACTGGCAACTCATTGCTAGAGAGGTGTAATCTGTTATTAACAAACGGTTAAGGCTGTTGACCCAGTTCTTCAAGAGTAGCACACAATACCTTTTATGTTCTACCATCATCACCATATTCGTAGAGGCTTAGAACTGCATTTGTAATGTACACACTTGTTTACTGTTCAATTGTTCGTTTTTGCTGCTGCTGCCGCTGTACTGATCCATTGATAAGATTTATGGCTGCTCTGTGTTGACTACAAACCTCAATGCTACACAATAGCGTTCAAATCGAATGACAACAGCAAGCCCGGTTTAGTATTTCTTGAGAAAAAAAACGATATAATATTTTTGTTTTTCGTTTTGATTGGCATGTTGTTGTGTTCTAATGATTTTCTCATAGTATACGTCATGATATACAGTCACCTGCAAATTATTTAATAATTAGAAACAATTAAATTTATTAATTTTATTCGGTGTTAGTAGACATTCCGAGAGGTAACAATTACAATTACAAGTAATTCACAGGAAATACAATTAAAATAGGAAATATTTTATCAATGATTACTGTGGGATAAACCACTAAAGTTATTCGAATGGAAAAATTGTTCAGTAATTGAAATTTTTTGAGAACAATAGAAATCAGTTTTTGTTTTAAAATGTTTAAAGTAGCAATACGTATTGGACATTTCATGTTCCCCGAATTGTCTGAAAATTTATTAAAAACGTTATTACGCACACCTAACCCTTTACAGTAAAGTGGTCAATCTAGCTCTTCGTTTTTATACCCTACATCACACTGTGGCCAGGGTATTATGTGTCTGTGCATTAGTTTGTAACATAGAGAAAGAATCGAATTAGACCCATGTTTCTTTTGATGATTCACATTCTGAGTCGATTTATGCATGTCCGTCTGTCCGTTTTTCCATGTATTTATATAAACAAAGTATAACTCGCATTTATTGCCCGATAGAGATGATATTTTGCACAAATCGTTTGTTTGGCCCAAGGACGAACCCTATTGAAATTGGAGATAATCGGTCAACATTTAGATATAGCTCATATATATATTATAGTCCGATTTGCCTTTTATTGTGCACCAAACGTGTAATATTTGACCAAATTGGATGAAATTTCGTACATATAGAGCCTAGAAACAACTGTTCCAATTTTGGTGGTATCCGGAGATTTTGGTGGCCATTTTGCGCTGGAAATGAAGCGAAGAACCTCATTTTGTAACCATTCTTGTATGGCGCGTGCTGAGTGCGATGGTGTTGAGTTCGTTTGTTTACAAACTGCTGGACAAGGAATGTTTTCTCATCGGAGAAAACCAAATTCTTCTCTCCACTTCCTCGAAGTCGGGCTACGCTACCAGTATCACGATAACGAGCGATGGTACGAGACACAAAAGATTTATTCACATTTAAATACTGGAGTGCTCTAACGATAGCCACTTGTAGTTTTCCAGCCAAATAAAAAGAAATCACACTATCAAGCTTGAATTCCATCACGAAAAACTTTTTTTCTGGAAAAATTTCACCAAAATGCTTTTGTACGCTTGTAAACAATGTAATGAGTTGTCACTGGAATAATTTTAACAGCAGTGACTTAAAAATAACAGCAGTTGGTTGCAGTTTTTTCATATCACCATGTATAGCTATAGCTCCCATATATATCCTTCATCCGATTTGTTAAATGTTTCCTCCACAGCCGTAATATGCACTCTATAACAACGATACTCGGAGAAACATATCAAATTTATGTCAGAAATATTTTTCCAAATTTTATCGAGATCGGTTTTGGATCAGATTTGGATACAGCTCCCATATATATCTTTACTCGATTTATAGTTTATTCGTCAAAATATGGTTAATATAAACCCGAATAAAACAGAATAAAGGAATAAAAGATATTGAATTTGGCGAAAATCGGTCAAGATATAGCTATAGGTCCCATTTATATGTCTCATTCGATTTTGTATTTTACTCCCTCGCAACCGTAAAATACTCTCCACAACAACGATAGTAGGTGCGAACTATCAGATACAGCATAGAGATATCTCTGCTAAATTTTATAGAGATCGGTTCGGATTCGGATATAGCTACAATGTATATCTTCACCCGATTTCACATTTATTGTGTCTTAAAGGTCTAATGTCAGCTCACATAGGATGAATTTTAATGAATAATACACCTTCAAAATCGATCATATTTGTTATGTTTTAATTCTCATAAATTCCCCATAAAAGCGTTTATTTGTTATATGTAGCTCTACTATATATCCAACGTGGTGTAGGGTATCATAAAGTCGGCCCAGCCCGTCTTTGGCCTTCCGTTACTGGTTTTATAGTCCCATCGCGATATTCGGTATTTAGTGTGATTTACAATTCATAATTACCAAATCTATTGGGAAATTTCTGATATTTGGTAATTGAAGTTGTAAACTGTGCCTAAGTATAAGGAATATCCCCCATATAATCATACATCCTGATGTTCGGTATTTTCCTAATTCCTCGAGATAGATTTACAAAAACGAGATCCAGTTTTAAATATCTAAAATAGTTCCCCCGAATTATCTTTAAACTAAAAATTACTTTAAAAATTATACTAAGTCAGTGAACCATAACTGTAACAATTTTCATAAATAAAAATCAACTTCAATCATATTAGTTTTTTGAGAGTTTCGATTTCAATTTACATTCGGAAAATATGTATCACCTTACAAAAACATCTTACAGTACTTGAAATGAGGCTATAAATCATGGCGATGTTCATTAGTAATCGCTTGCAGTAAACAACAACAACAACAAAAGTGTGTTGCTTTTATTGAAACTGTTATAGATGTCAATGCCTTTTACAAAAAAAAACCGCACAGTTCTAAAGTTGAGAGTCATTATTGAATGAGTTCAGTATACAAATCAACTGTTGGTTGATACATTCACGTTTTTGTCTGGATTTAAAATAGAATCACAGAAAAAATAAGTGGCTAACATTGCAATATCTATATATGTAAATTGTTGAATGTCATAACCTATAAATACATATGGATGTTGGAATAAAACATAGATTTATTGATTCAAAATAAAAAAAACAATTCTACTAAGAAACATTCGTTTGGTGGTGCTTTTAATGTTTATAAATAGTAATGCCAAATTTTCCAAGCTTAAAGTAGAAATCTGAACAAACAAATTTCGATAAAAATTTGAGGGACAGAGAATTCTAATTGGAGATAAAATATCTTGTATTTCAGAGCCCCAAAGAACAGTTTCGTAAAAGGTCGAACTTCAGCGTTAGGGCGTGATGAATTTTTTTTTGCTGATCCTCAGATCCCAAATTTTGAAGATTGTATTTAAATCGACTGAAAACTTCAAAATAATTATTTTTTCTAAATACAAATAACACAGTGACACAAATTGCGGTAAAAATTGTATGTATGGGGGCTATACGATATCGTGGACCTATATAGGCAATACCCTCCAGAGGGTAAAATGCTCAAAAGGAACTCATCGTGAGGAATTTCAGATAATTCAATTCAAAAATGTGGCTAAAATAATCCATACCATACCGTTGTATGGGGGCTATACGATATCGTGGACATATAAAGACAATTCTCTTTAAGGGGGTAAAGAACTCACAAAAAACTGCTTGTGTAGAATTTCAGACATATGCATTGAAAAGTGTGGCTAAAATCATCAAAATACCAAACAAGGGGGTACCGTTATATGGGAGCTATACGATATCTTGGACGGATATAATCCATCTTCGACTTGACCTGCCTGAAGACAAAATACTGATCTGTGCAACCTTAATTTGTTTTAACTCTATCGTGATTACAACAGACGGACGGAGGGGCAGGGCTAAATATTTTGTTAGGTCTAAAATTAATATTTCGATCAATTACACATGGAATGACGAACTTAATATGCCCTCTATGTATGGTGGAGGGTATAAAAATGAAATGTAATTTCAAAAATAAGCTACACAATATGCAATCTGATATATAATTGTTGTGTCTTGTTGAGACTGATGAATAAATAATGCACGATCTTTACGTTATAATGATAATGATACTTTATTATAAATAGCTTAATCTACGATAATGCAAAAAGGATCGAATTGAAAATGGTGACCGGTTGCTTTGATTGAAATGTACGAATGAATACAAAACAAAGATGCTGTAGTGACAAGTGCCATATGTTGCCACATCGTCACGAGCAGAAAGTATCACAATACAATTACATGGAGTGTAACAATGACAAGTGGTTACGGATCTCACTTAAGTCACCACAATTCTCCCCCACTAAAACAAGGACATATATGATTACTACGATTAATGCTAATGGCGAACATAATCGCTTAAATACTGGGGTTGTCTCCGTTGCCTTGCAGAGGTACGACGACTTGGTGTGGACTCAGCATCAGCGTTTTGGGTAGAGGCTGATGGCGTTCCAACTGGTGCTTCGGTTCCGGCTGCAGTTGGTGTTGTGGAAGTACCGGGAACTTCTGGATCATTAGCATGTGTACTCAGTGGAATGTAGGGTGCCATAATTAGAGGCTGATGAGACTGTTCGCCATTCCCTGAACTAAAATCTGGGACCGACTCAGTCTGCTCAGTATCTGGAGAATAAGGCAGTTTTACATTTGTGAAACGGAGTTGGTCTATGTGGCGCTTGAAGACATAACCATTGTCGAGTTTTACCAGATAATGAAGGTTACCAAGCTTTTTAGAAATAATTCCGAATTTCCATACAGGTTTGTTTGGCGTATAGTATCGGACTTGAACTCGGTCTCCCTCACTCAGTTTCCTAACTGGACATTGTGGCGTAGATGACTGAGTTAATTTTGATGGCTTCAAGGCATCCAATCGGATTCGGATTTGTCTACCCAGGTACATTTCTGATGGGGATTTACCATTTCGAAGAGGTGTAGCTCGATATTTAAATAAAATTTCTCTTACTTTTTTAGATATCGGAGAAGGATCCTCTGCCATGGCTGCTAGACGCTGCTTGAGTGTTTGAACATTTCGTTCAGCTAGACCATTTGTGGCAGGGTGGCCAGGTGCAATGTATTTCTGGAAGATACCGGAATTAGTGCAGAAATTTTGAAACTCTTCACTTTTAAAAATCGTTGCATTGTCAGAGACAAGAACATCAGGGTATCCATTGCGTGCAAAAATGTTGTTTAACATTTCGATTGTTGACGTTGATGTTGGCGCAGAGGAGCACACCCCCACTTCTGCCCACTTTGATTTTGCGTCGACGACAACAAGAAATTTATATCCCTGATATGGCCCCGCGTAATCAATATGAATACGTTGCCAATTTCCATCCGGCTCCTCCCAAGGATGGAGAACTGCTTTCGGAGGATTTTTCTTTACCAAGGCACACGCAGAACAGGAACGTACAAATTGTTCAATATCTTTATCAA